CCCGGGACAGCCTTCTCTGTCCGACAACATGAAGAAGGGTAAAAATATATTTTTAAAGACAAAATATGTCATCATGATGAGCCTAATTACCTCACAACATTAGAAATCCATAAAAGATTAATATATATATTAATATATCCTGCAGATTCGCTTGTAGAGGTAATGGTTGTGAGTGGTCAAATTGAGAAAAAAACTAAATTACATGGTTAATTCATCCATCTATCAAAGTATTTACCCAACTTTATCTTTATCTTTTGATTTGCTAGTTTTGATTCATTTAATGTAAAAGGAGAAAAACAAAAATTTGATTTGTGGACATTTCATTTGCCGGTCACTAATCGGAGCAAGTCGAGGGAGAGAAAAAAATCGTCTGATTAACAAATAACCGGTGTGCTTTAGCAGAAAACCAGGAAGTCGGCTGTGTGTTAGGGGTTAAAAAGTGCATTTAAGCATAAAGCAGAACACAAAAAAGGAGGCGATCACGGAGAGAACGGAGTGCTGCAGCCACGTCTGCGTGTGATATATTGTCTTTGGCTGCGGAGCGGCTTCCCGAGTTCACGAGTTTCCATGACATAGCCGGCGCTCAGCTCCACCGCGAGCCAAATACTCAGAGACAGATAGATGAGACCACACGCTGCGAGGCCAGAAAGGACCCGTCGGATGTCTGATCCAAACCGGTGGATCAGGACAATATGCAGAGGAAGTGGAAGGGTGAGGCATCCATCTGTTTATGCTCATTTCAGCTGGTGTATAAAAGCCTTCTATTTGTAGAAATCGGCCTTGACACTTGCTACGCTCTGAAGATGAGGATTCAGGTTGTTCCTGTGCTGCGGATTAATCGCAGGACTTGTGGCTGCAGTTTTTAAATGCCAGAAAACACCCATGCTTTTCTTTAGCAGAGAACGGATACTGCAAGTAAAGGATGGAAGTAAATCCTGACAACAAAACCTGCAAAATAAAACAAAAAATAAAAAAAAACTGGGGTGTGAGGTGGTGGCCCAGTCAAAGTTCAGATCTACATCTTGTTAAGAATCTGTGGCAAAACCTTAAAAGATGATTTTCAATCATGCTCTCTCTAGTCAACCTCACTAAACTCTGGTCCAAAAAAGTCATTATAAAAATACTGAAAATTGCAAGATGTGAGAAAGGTCAAGAGGTCAAATATGTTTGCAAGGCACTGGAAAGTGTGCATTGCACTCAACTTAAAGCAACAGATTTAAGTCTGGTGCACATTTTGAGTGGAAATGCACACTGCTGACCAGAAAAATCAAACACTGCTACCTTCACTGGTGCACACAAGAAATTACAACCATTGGAACAAGATACTCAGGTTTTATTCATGTGTAGTGAAAGTTTACTATTGGAGGAAATCCATGTTTGAGCAAGAGCCCAGAAGATGCCTGCACAGCTGTTAATTTCTCATAGACAACCTTCAAAACAAAACAAAACAAAAAAGAAAAAGGTAGAAAAGGAGGACATGCAGTTCAAGAAACGTAGAAATAGATACTCCCGTATTCAAAATCAAAGCAAAAATGTCAAACTTTTAAACTAATTGGATCTGTAACAAACTGTTTTCTAACCCAGTTTCTTGCTGCATAACATGCTGGTACTGACCAAAACAAACACAAACAAACAAAAAGCGAAACCGCTCTGCTGCGCGAGCGACACACACCGTAATAGAGTCAGTATGTCATATGCAGACGGGGAACGATTCAACATAACGTGCAAGGAGAGTTTTGCGGTCTCAAATTTGACTGGGCTTATCCAGCAACACCAGTTTGGTCATCTCTGATGATAATCACACCTATTTTCTCCCCAAACTCTCAGATTTTCACCTTTCAGTAAATGAAAGAAATAATAATATTCGCCTGTAGCTCTCCATGTGGAAGCCTCAACAGTCCGGTCGATAAATAATAATAAACCGCTACACATTTACGGTCTATTGTAATCACTTGCTCACTGACACAAGCACTCCCAACAGTCCATAACTGTACACACTGACAGTCTAATGCATTTTAAAACCATGTTAATATTACGGTCAGGGGTGCCGCCAGGAATCTTGGGCCCCCTGACAAAAAATTGATTTGGGCCGCCCCTCCGTTGCTGCTGTTACAATTTTTTGAGTCCATCTGACCCATCAAAAGCGTCACAATTTTAAAGGCTTGCAACTTGCTTTCTTTGGTCCAGCACTGATAACTAGCACAATATATACTGCTCATGAATTTTTACATCCAACAGTCTGCATACAGTATGCAAACAGGTTGCTTAAATTTTTTCTGTTAGCTTTAGATTACTGAAATGTCTCTCCCCACGAGCAACAGTCAAAAGCAACGTGCAAAATACACACAAAGCAATGCAGACTTCTCAAAAAATGCTATCAAGTCGCATTTTATTCAAGCCGCAGTATATAACATAGTGCATTAAGAGATGTTACAGCTGCTGCTGACTGACTCATTTTTCATTAAGTGGTAAAAGAGAGAAGTTAAATATATTAATATGTTGGTAATTTTTTTCTTAATTCATTAAATCCTAGTGAAAAGGAGGCAAACAGTAATGTGTATCTAAGCTAGCTGTGCTAAATGGTTGATAATCTCATCTACCCACCTCACTTGCAGAAAAACTGGGTTATAAAAATGTACTTTTACCTTTTTCTCTCTCTCCATTTTTTTTGCTTTTTGAAAACCTGACTATTATTTTTCTTAGCAGCATCGTAAAGGCCACAGTCAGTCTTGTTTTCCATCCACTGTCTGCTGTTGAACACAGTCAAGCTCCAAGCAGGAACCAACCACTTCATGCAGATCCAGGTGGTTTCAGGGCAAAATGTGGATGTGTGTTTTTTTGGTCTGGGAGTGGGAGCATTACATTTTTACTGCTAAAAACAATCTTCAAAAACACAATATGATTAATTTTGTAATTGACAGGGCCCCAATTTTTTTTTCTATGAACAAAAAAATAAATGAATAAACTTATCTTTTGCTGCAATGGGATGTCACACTGAAATTTTGAGGAAAATTCAACATTTGCGCGTTTTTTGTTATCTTTTTCTCCGTCGGAGCATCCGTGATAATTGCTTGGACCAAAACTAGTGGCAGGATAGCACAGTCCTCTGGGATGGAACAAACTCATATTATGATGATGAATGAAATTCAATTTATTGTGAATATGTAGTTTAAACGTGAGCAAATGAAGAGGCTTTTTTTTTTTTAAACAGCAAGAGTATGTGTGAGGTTTTTGAGCTGCTTCCAGTTTGACCAGTGTGAGTGTACTGGTACCAAGGGTGTGGAATTCAGTGTTTAAATGAGTAAGAACAGGGCATGTCATTTCTCCTGTGAAGCCATCTTTCATGTTAGCGCCACACCAAGCCCATAGGGAGTGGAAAAACCCAAAAATGGAAAGGTGTCAATCTTTGGCTCATTTGACGGTTTAAGTTGAAGAAGGGCTGGACGATACATATCAACTACAATTAAGAATTGGTTTTTTTTTGTTTGTTTCAAGTCTCTGAAATACCACCAATCTGGTGATGTGACCTTTCCTGTTGCATTCTTTTTTTTTGTCCTTTTATTTTTAAGCACTTATGAGGCACAGTAGTGAAACCTGAAACAGCAAGTTACTCAACAAGTTGTTGCTATGTGACCAATGTGATGCCACCGACCTAGCTTAGGTTACATCCCCCAGAATGTTTCTGGAATCGGAGTCCAGTGAAATTATGAAACACCGTAAAGGACATATTTCTATTGACACTGTTCACGTGTCTATCGGTATACATATTGTTATCGACTTGTTGCCCAGCCCCAAGTTGAAGTCTCGACACCAACATTGAGGGTTTATGCCAGAAACGCCTTTTCTTTCCCATTACAAACAGGTGTAGACATTATCCAATTGGCTTTTTGTTGCAGTTCTTTAAAAGTGCACTTTGGAGAATTTTGGTTTTTGTTTCGGTTTCTAGGATTAGACTTGCCAAGATACTTTGATCACCTTGAGAAAAACAAAACTGGCAACATGAATTAAAAAAAAAAAAAAGCTTTGCTTGCATTTATTTTAAAACAATTTCTATGTTTACCCAGAATTGTGCTTCCAGTGATCTTATAGTAAATAAGTATTCCCTATATTACACTTGTTTTCCCTCATGAATAAATGTATTCCAGATTTATTCAGTCAACATTTTTCAGTCAGATTTTATGATTGCAACACAGTAAAATAGGATCAAATCAAAGCCATACACATATTTTCCCCCCTGTTGTGTATTTAGTGTGAACAACTGAGCTTCTACTCCAACTTAAGCCTGACCCTCTGTGCTACAAGTCTGTCTGCGGCCAGCAGCCCTCGATGGCCGCTACTTCTCCTAAACAGTAGCTGTGATTACAACACAACAGGAACCACATGGCAAACACACACTCGGCACACAACGAGAGGGAAGGAGGGGAGACACTGTGGCATTACTTCCTCAAACGTCGTAGTGAATAAAAAGGCAAGTGGCTCAGTCTGCGCGTTGCAACGTGGTGCAGGCCTCTGAGATTTAAGAAGTGGAATCCTGCATTATCCTCCCCTCTTATCGTCCTGCTGCACATTTGCACACAGTCGTGCACGCAGCTAATCAGGCGCTGGCCGAGCACCGCATCCACGACACCCACTTCACTCGACTCCCGGCTGATATACAGTCCTCATCAAACCCACAGTTTGTCCACCATACGCTTATCGGTGTTCCAAAACAAGCCGTCACGCGCCGCAGACCCTGTTTGCCCGTTCCCGACGGTGACAGAGAGAAGACCGCTAAAAGAAAAGGGAAGAAAAAAAAAGTGTGTGACGACATGTGACTTCTCAGTTCCATCTGTGATGAATGGATCTGCCAGACTCACGCATAAAGTTACCGAGGCAACAGAGCTCCGGCCCTGATTGGAGGTCACGCAGAGATGAAGGCTGACGCGGACTAAAGAAAGAAAAAAAAAAACGGGACGAAGACTATCTATAGCTACCAACATGAAGACGGCTTGTTAACTCACCTGCACATGCATCTAAAGCCAACGACAAGAATGTCAGAAACGCGCCTGCCATGACGGGACATGATGCAATACAGCATGGAGGAACAGAATCTGAGAGACCGGGGCCTGCACTCGATGACGCAGAGGCCCCTCCAGCGTTTATCCTGTTCTCCTGTAAACACGGAGCTCTGGTTGTGAGAGGGGAGTTTCATTTCACACACACACACACACACGCAGGGATGTAATCTCCGACTAATCGCATTTGCAGTCCTGGGACCGAGCAGTTACACCGCAGTCCTGGACAGATGGGCCAGCGTTCGCCAGGCAGCGCTGGGATTAAGTGGAGGTGCGGCGGGCAGCTACCGATGGGTGACTTCCTCTAACCGGCCGCCGGCCTGATTACATTACAGGGAATCTGTTTTGTTACTGCGTTCCTACGCAGCTTTAATGAATCAAAGGCATTGCTACTAGTAATGAAACAACTCAGATTAAGTGTGATGAATCGATTATTCAAATAGTCGTCAAATCGATCAGTTAACTGGAATATACAGACTCAAATAAAAAGGCCATTTGCTGAAAGGACACAGTCCAGCAAATAAGCCAAAAGTGTGCAATATATATATGTATGTATACATTGCATTTAAGATAAAAAAAAAATAAAATTTTACACAAAACTCAGGTGATATAGTTTAAGTTTCACTAAAGGAAAGCTATACAATTACATTTTAGGCATTGAAATCTTTATTTTGCTATTTAGACTAAATAAATTTAATTATTTATTTGATAAATTATTAGAAAAATCAATTGCTAACACAATCGTTAGTTGTAGCCTTAATTAATTTGCAGTAGATGTCTAGATTGAGATTGGACTTTAACCAACACCTTCAAAACTCACCGGAAATGTGGCAAAGAAAAACTATTTTCTCAACAGGAAATCATTTTAACTGATGCCAAAATTAATCTAGAAAGCTTTTTAGCATCTGCTGAGACTGTGATTTACAGTTAATTTTACAAATATCAGGCCAAACAGATCAATAAAAATCTGAATAGCCGATAAGAGAGCAGGAATTGAATTCTGGGGATTAGTTGTGAACAGTGGCATGTCGTCAGCATAGAGGGAGATTCTATATGATGACTTTTCACAAGAAATTTCTGAGAATACTTTTGAGCAAACGCCAAATGCTGAGCAACTGAAAACATTCCAAGCCGGAGACCCAACCAAATCTCTTGAAAGTATCAAGTAAACTCATCACAAATACTTTTCCACTTTTAGTGACAAAGAAATAACTTTGTGTTTTGTTCTTTGAGAAAGCTGAAAAACAAGCGCTAAGTATTTTACTGTGACATAATTTTACAGCCAAACTGAAGTAGGTTTTAAATGCAACTTTTGATGGAAGCAGCTGTCAACATGGCTGCCAGTTGTGTAGAATTCAAACATGCATTTATAAAAGCACTGCAAACATCCAAGCTTTTAGAACTTGCTCAGAATTGTCATCATTTTCCAAGAATGTCCTCTTCACATTACTAAATGTCAAGGAAGACGGTCAAGAAAAAAGACGGGGATTGTATCAGTCTCCTCTGAATTACACTGCAGCTCTGTAAAAAGGCACGCTAGTCATGAGTCTGAACCCGAGACCTCTGGGCCATTTGTGAGGCGTCGAGAACAACAAACTCACACAGCCGAACGAAATATCAAAACGCAACGTTCTCGAATTCCTCAAAAGAAAAATCTCGAGGGGAGAAAAAGAACTTACGAGGGGAATGCAATAGTGAAAGGCCCCCCCGGAGCATTCTCGTAGGTTTTCAAAATCACATCTATGATGCGGCAAACAGAGAGCAATGTGTCAATATAGCAGCTCGAAAATGCTTAAGGGTTACATGGGTGGTTTATTTTCATTTATCCAATTCACCATAAGAAATCATTGAAAAATGTAAACAATGGTCCACTCTATTATTGGAATAATCTGAACTGTAATCGGGAAGCGTTAACGGATAAAATCAAGTTCTAGGCAGGGTGGCGCAGGACGTTTTCAGCGATGCAAACCGAGTGTTCATGAGTGCTCATGTAGCATGCTCAAACAGCTGACAATCAAAGACAAACTAACAAAAGGAAAGTTAACCGTCAGCAGATATTCATGCAAGATGCCCCGTTCCACATTATCTCGCTTTACAACCACTAACTTTAATGTTTTTTATTAAGATATTATAGAGCAATCCACAATTGTAAAGTGAAAAGTTGTGTTCAAGTTGTGGGAACAAACAGAATTTTGAAAGAAATCCCATAAATTAAAAAAAATAAACCTATTTTTATTATTAGTTTTCTTGGGAAAACTAAACATTATCCTGAATACACCTGAATGGTGAAACAAGGCGGTAGCTGCATCATGCTTTAGTGACGCTTTTCGACGAAGCATCACCAAAGTTGGGAAGTTGGTTAGAGTTGGTGGGAAGACTAAAAGAAAGGGGAATCCTGGACCTCAGACAAAGTACTTAAAAGATCGATGCTCCCAATCCAGTCTGTCTGGGAGAAAATGTTGTGCAATGGTCAATCATGTGCAAAACCGGCAGAGACATAACCCCAAAAGAAGTTGCAAAGGATGTTTCTGCAAGTAATGGAGAAAGATATCCTGAATAAGAAGACATACTCATCACGTGTTCATTTAAAAGAAAAAACAAAAAAACAAAGCCATGCATGCTCTTCATTTCACTTCCCAATTACGTGCTACTTTGTGTTGGGTCTATTAAAGAAAGTTGAAATGAAAATACATTGTTTTTGTAACGAGATGACATTTCTGATTCTGTCTGTTTGGCTACAGTAGTGTTAAAACATTTATAATTTATACAGTTATTATTATTATACATGCATTTTGTTATTTCGACTGTCTACTTGATTTCAGGTCGAAAACCGCTTCTGGCCCATTTCCCAATTTCAAAATGCTCCTACTTTCCCTGTCGCACAGCTTTCTCCGACATGCTAAGGCTAAGTTTGGGATGAGCCAAGGCGGTGGTGGACCCCCCGCCACACCCATAGCGTTCCCCGCTGAGGGCAGCGGTGCGGGGGGTTCATCGCCCTGTGAAGCGCTCGGAAGAGGTGGTAGCAGGTACTGAGCCTGCAGTGGGTGCTAACAGCGAGCTAACTAAACTGGCTGCCCCACGTAAACTCAGCGGCCTGCCTTTGAATCACACGCTGAACGTGAACGAACAAAGAAAAAAAAAAGAGAGGGAGAAAAAATAAAAATCAAGCAGTGCTCACTCTCCTCATCCCCTCGCTGCTATTTTTACGTCTCCACATTAGCATGTCACAAATACTGCTAACTAGCTTGACTCACTAGCTTGTAAAAGGAGGAGGGGGCGCATGATTTACTGCTGGCATCAGATCAAACCCCTCTCCGCTGCCTCTCGCTGCATGCGGAGGAGATATTTCAGCCTCACCTGGGCTGAGTGAAGAAAAATAAAAGCTTTTTAACATCCCTGCGCCTCGCCACAGATACCAACAGTCTGCAGGGGTGAGAAAATCACCCCTGCATTAAGCGTATCGTTTCTAATCACGCTATTATGGATTCACGGTGCTTTGCTGCTATATATAAAAAAAGGAGCATCCTGTGAATAAAAACAAACACACCCAAATCCGTCTATGGGGATTTAACGTTGCCTTAGCTAGCTAGCTCGACGTCTGATGCGCGGGGGATTACCGAATGATGCGGCTCACGATATCCAAGTTGCCACCCCCCATCCGCCCCGGGCCGTAATGTGGGGTAACTCACCGAAATGCCCCGTTTTCCTCTGTCTCAGTCTGATGGTATTCCAGCGGGCACATCAGAGGACGGCGCTTCGCAGCTTGCTATAAACCACAACGCTCCGCAGCACAACAGCGCGTCTCGCAACAGCTGTGTTGTGTTTTGAATGAGAGCTGAGGAGGCGCACAGCGGACGGACGGGCGGAGCTTCCAGGGTGCTAACTGGGGCAGCAGGCTGCTCATCATCCGCAGCAGACCTGCCTTCAGCATCCTCAAGCACACAGATCTTTTGTCCTTCTCGGCATTATTGTTGACTAGGACAGTGTCGGTTTGACAGATGGGGACCGCGTTTCTCTTTGTTTATTGTTGCAGGCAGGGTGCAGTAGAACGCCTCCATGGGGCTTTGAAATAAGAGTAAAGTTCAAGTGTTTGATTCTGCTTCCCTCTAGCGGTCACTTGCGGTAAAACACCTTTTTTTTTTGTTTGGTAGAAAGAAAACTACAGGTGCATCTCAGCAGAGGTTGGTAGAGTCGACTACCCAAAATTCTACTTTTGAGTAGAATTTTGCAAAAGTTTTACTTTTATCTGTTATTTTAATTGTCAAATGTTTCCCGTCACTGGATGTTATTTTTGAGCTGTTTGTGTCTGAGATGCAGGTTCTTCTGGGACATTAAACAAATGTCATCAGCTGTGTGGCTGGTGTTAATCAGTTTATCATTTTCACGTTACAGAAAATCCATAATAAGCTCAGACATGTGTGCCCAGAATCAAATCTTTTCACTCTGGAGAAAGGACAGCTCAAAAACGTTTTAATAAGAACACAGCAACACCTTATTGTGTTTTGTTTCTTCAATAATATTTTCCTGTAACCTTATCAGTACTTCTAACAACTACAGGTTACAAATTGTAGAAGCACAGAAAAAAATATATAATTTTATTCATTTATTGTTTGGACATCAACAATTTTCTATATCACACAAATGTACACAGTTCTGACAATCTTCCCATCTACAGGCTGTAGTGAGGCAAACAGATGCACTGAAAAAACAGTGTATTGGTATCCCTAAAGGGCAATTACTCCAACAAAACTGCCTGAAGTGAAACATTGTGTGGCAGTGTAAAAAAACAAAAACAATCAAGCCATCATTTGACAGCAGCGTGTTTGAAATCACTCCCCAAACTTCAGCTGTCTTTCCTTTTCTAAACCGTGCAGCTCCCTCGCTCGGTTCTTCAGATCCTCTGCTTTCTTCTCATCCTTCTCCGTGCCGTCCCCGAGTTTGCACATCCGGCTGGCATTGGCGCACCCCCACACGTGTCCGAGCTCGCAAGCCCTGCTGGCGTACTTGAAGGCTTCACTCATGTTCGGCGGCAGCCCCTTGGCGTTGCCCTCGATGAACATGGCGCTGAGGTTGAAGCAGGAAGGTGCGAAGCCGCCGGCGCAGGCCTTCTCGTAGTACTCCCGGGCCAACGTGGCGTCGGGGTCGCTGTCCAGAGCTCGCCCGTCGTGGGCCAGCAGACCGACATTATGGCAAGCGTCTATGGACTTCTTTCCTCCAGCGTTGCAGGAGCGCATGAAGCAGGAGTAGGCGGTTTTCAGACACTCGGTCACTCCACCTGGTGAACAGATTCAGCAGAGACTCACTAAGACGACAGAAATCTGTTATAAGTCCAAACACATTTAAAGTCTAAAAATTTTATTTCAATCATATTAAGTTAAAACAGTAAATGTAACCATATATGAACAGAAGAACAGTCCATACACACCCCACGGTTCATCTGTGTAGTTTTTATGTGTTAAAGATGCATTAAATCGTTGTATCTTTAATAGGATCAGGAATACATTAGGGATTTATTATCTTAAGAATATATGTACAAGTACAACACCCACAAATCTGATTCATAGTTGGTTCCAAAAGGAAGAATAAAAAAAAAACAACATCCAGAGGAACTTACTTGTTTCTCATCATCTTACTTATTGGTTTACTGTGTGAGCAAAACATGCTGGGAAGCTGTCGCTGCACTTTTGTTTTTCAAGAATTTCTAAAACATATTTAAGACAAAATACTTGAAATATTGCTTGCAACAACAGAAGGGCAGCTCACAAAACCAAAAGAAACGCTTTTGTTGAAATGCTGAAGCAAAAAATGAATCCATTTCAAACACTCACAGGAAAAAAGGAGCTTTCAATTCAGGGGTTTTTACATTTCAGGACAGAAATATTATCCAAAAAAACTGTTTGAAAATTATTCTGGCTAAGTTTGATTGTTGGACTGATGGCCTCATATTTGACACACAAAGTGGTTCAAGGCCAATTCAGTAGCTGCAAACTGAGCCCAAATCATAACACCTCCACCACCGTACGTCACTGTTGATGTCCAGGATTAAAAACTCTACTTATGTAGAGTTTTTAATATGTTTGATTGGAAATCAAGTGATTGTCTTTAGACGCTACGTTTGATGATGGCGGTGTTGACTCTGTAGAATGTTTTTACACATTTGAGGCAGCAATTAAGTAATGTTGGAGCCTGATGAGGGCTATGTGATTGAGTCAGAGTGAGGGCGTTCTTTCTTTCCTTCTGAAAAAGCGGTCTGTTCACACACCTTTGCCGGTGACATGGTAAGCTCCGAGTTTATAGCAGCTCTCCGAGTGTCCGTTTGTGTCACAGTTGTGTTTCAGGACTTGCGCTGCAGAATCGTAGTCTTTCTTCACGCCGTCCAAATAGTCTGCCAGCCTTTGGCACCCTGAGGAGACGCATCGTTAGTGACACAGAGGCAAACACAAGCAGCATTAAACTAAAACTACAATTCTATGACTCAAAGATTTTTATAGATTATTTAAATGCATGTTGTTTGTTCTTTGTGTGTTCATTTTATCTTATATTTATTCTCCTTTTTTCTAAAAACCTTTAAAACTAATACTTTCTTCAAAAACCTTTATTATTATTGAGATGTACATGTATTAGACACTATAATGCATGTAAACTGTAATGTATTTAGGAAAACATTCTATTCTAATATTTTGTCATAACTTAAAAACTGCATCAAATAAATACATCTCTTAAAATAAAATAACTTGTTGTACAATAACTTAAAACAACAGTATGCTACAACTATAATGTAACAACATCTTGGAATAACTCAAAATAATCTTAAAACTGTGTAAATTAAATAAAATAAATACCATTGCAAAACACGAAAAGAGCGAAATAAGAATATAAAAAGCTCAACTTTAAATAGCAGCTTTACATAACAGCATAAAAACACTGCAGCTTTACATGGCATAACAACGTAAAACACCGTGAAACAACATAAAACAGCGAATCTAAAGGTAACATGAACAACGTGAGGGTCAGTGAACGCCTCAGGGTTGGTGTTACCTTCAGGGTCCTTCTCCTTGTAGCACTGGTAACTGTACTCCACTCCCAGGTTGTCCAGGAACTGCTTCACCTCCTTCTCATCCTCAAAGTTGATCAGCCCAGCCATGACGCAGCGTCTGGCAACAGGAACATGGGCCGGAGCTGCTGCACTAAACTAGCTGTGTGAGCGCGACCAAAGCGACTCCTGCATGTGGACCCGGTCTGGTTCTGTTAGCCGCCTGCTACCTTCCCTCCCGCGCTGCTTAACCTCTAAAGAACCGAGGAGCTTTAGCGCTTTCGTAACTGTCCCGTGCGGGCTTCCGTAGCGCCGCCTCCTCTCCCAATGTACTTCCTGTGTTGTGACCTTTGTTTACTGTCTTGTCTCTTCGCTCCAGCCAGACGTCGCTCGCAGTGAAAACCTACCTCCTGTCCGGTTCCTCGTTTCGCAGGTTTTCCGTCGCTGCGGCGCTTGGTCGACATGAACTCCGCCACCTCGGGCGGCTTCGGGTGTTTTCGCAGCGGGGGAGGTTTCTCAGCTCAGTGGCAACAACAAGTAAGCTAGCTGCTGTGTCCAGGCTCACCGCCGCTGTCCCTCCGCTCCGCTCTGTGTCAGAGCAGGCAGGTGAAAGAGAAACCGAGACGCTCTGATACAGACACAAAACAGGCGAAGCTGTGTTTCTTCTGGCTCTTTCTGACGTCATCCCTCCGCTGCTTTAAGCTGAAACTGTCCTCTTTACTTTCTCTTCTACACTATGGCTTCTCTGTTTTTAAACACGGTAGGTTATTTATTTTGCCCGTATGTGTTCCCCCGCCCCTTTCATTTGGGAAAACAACAACAAAAAACACTTGTTCTCTGCTGTCCAGGATGACGCCTCCCCGGCGGCTCTGACAGACCTGTGCCTCACCTATGTGAGCCAGAACCTGGAGTGTTTCTGCGTCAAGCTGCCTGACGGCTCCCTGTGCTTCAGGGAGGCTGTGCTCTTCCCTCAGGAGCTGGCAGACCAGCTTCTGGCCAAGATGGCCACTGAAGGTAAGCCCAACCTCTGCGGATAAGGGGATGCATGTCTTGGGAAGGATCTGGGACAGGTGGGTCAGCGAGAATTTGATGGTTCTAAATGAACTGCGTGGAAGCAAAAACAAAACCAAAACAAACAAAAAAAATAGCCTGAAGGCTCTAATTTCCATCTCAGTGTAGAAATGCTTCATAGCTGTGAAGAAATGCTTTTTTAAAAAAATTATTTGCATCTACTTATATCAATGGTTTTTTTTTTGTTTTTTTTATTTAATTTTTATTGGTTTGTTTTTCCTCAATTAATTAATTTATTTTTATTAATTAATCATTTTTTTCATTCGTCAACGCTCTCGTCAGTCAGCATTTTCACATTTTACCCATGTTACTTGTGCAGAATCAAAGTAGCACACTACTGTGAAGATGAAGAATTGTTGGTCTGTTGTTGAGAGTTTCATCTCAGAGCAGCATCAGAGCCATGAAACTCTAAAAAGGCTCAACAATCTGATTAAAAAGAAAAAAGTCTGGGTCAGTTCTGGGGATGAGTGTGCAACCTCTGGAGAAGAATTTGACATAAAATCAAGACAATTATGGATAACCCTGACCATCCTCTTCGTGAGACTGTCATAGAAAAACATTGTCTTTGATTTGAAGAGGTTTCCTCAAATTTGCTATGACACACACCGTTACAGCATCCACAACAACTCCTTGAGGAAACTTGAATAATTTGAGTTCCATTTAATTTGTGATAGTAACGTGTTTTTGAACATTTTTACAAATCCACATGTGAAAAGAAACAGTCAATACGTCTAGCTGCAATTACATCTACAGTCTCTACCAGCTTTGCACATCAAATAGATGTCAGTAAGCCCTTACATACATTTTCTTTATTTGTTTTCATCCAAATATATGCTAAACTCTGACCAGCTGCCCTGCACCTGCCACAACGATGTTTCACACATTTCACATTGTATTTTGCATGCAAGTTAGAAAGTTGAATTTTTCTCTCATTTGACATCTTCTGCATTTTGGGAGTGTTTCTGCTGCTCCTCCAGAGTCACCACAGGCCTCTTGGCTGCTTCTCTGTTTACGGCCGTGCTTTGGTATGTTTTTGGTTCTGGGATGTCCCTGTCTGCTGTGCTTCTTGGTCTTCATGATGCTGTTTGTTCACTGATGTTCTCTAACAAGCCTCATTAACTCATGAGTTATGTACAGGTGTACTCTATTTTATAATTCGCCAACTTCTGAAGTCAATTGGTGTGGTTGAATTTTACGCTGCTTTTTACAGTGTTTTTTTTTTAAGAAATATAAAACCAATGTATGTTTATTTACTTCCTTTGTGATAATTTATCAGATAAGAAACCCACTTCACTGGGAGACCTCAACTAAAATGCACACCTTTTTGTCAGTTGAAATGTAATTACTTTGAAAAAATATATAATACACTGACTGCTAGATTATTGTATTTTACTAAATCTTTTGGTCATGTTAACAAAAAGATTTATGCAAGGTTTTGTCGTGCTTAAATATCATCTCCGACATTTCACTGTTGTATCTGTTCCTCAAATGGCGACATGTTGAGAAACTGTGACTGACGGTGCTTCATTCCCCTCCAGGTCTCCTGAATGACAGCACCGTGGGGGTGTTCAGGAACTGTCAGTACCTGCGGCTGAGACGAGCCTGCATCCGCACGGCCCGGATCTCTGCCGAGGCGTTCCAGAAAGCCCTCTGCCCGCACAGACTGCTGGAGCTGGACGCCGCAAGGGTCAACGCGGACCTCACCATTCCTGACATCCTGCAGGGATTGGCTACCAACAAATACTGTCAGGTAAAATAAACTGGGAGGTTTCACTTGCTAAGAAATCTTTTCTTCGTACAACTTGAAGTCAATTTGAAAATGTTTTTTTTTTCTCTCTCTCTTTCTGCAGGAGTCTCTCCAGCGGTTAATCTTGACCGGACTCACCATGGCCTCTCTGGAGGAACTGAGCTGGTACCGTTTCAGCGCCCTGCGCGGCCTGCGCTCTCTCTCTCTGGCCAACGTGGAGTTCTACGACTCCGGCCTCGTCGACGTCTGCTCCCTGCCTCGGCTGGAGAGCCTGGATTTGTCCAACACGTCGGTGACCAACCTGAGCCCGCTGCTGGGCCTGAAGGAGCGCCTCCGCTCGCTAACGCTGCACCAGCTGAAGAGGCTGGAGATGAGCACGGCTCAGCTGCTGGGAGTCATAGGCCAGCTGAATGTGCTACAGGTTGGTGGTCATCGTTCTGGTGTTGCTGGGAAATGCACATTTACGGCGGCAGAGAGAGAAACTCATGCTTGTGCTCTACACAGCACCTGGACATCAGCGACGATAAGCAGTTTACCTCCGACGTGGCCTGTCAGCTGCTGGCACAGCGGGGGATCCTTCCTGCTCTTGTTTCCCTGGACGTCTCAGGCAGGAAACAGGTGCGTTTTCTTCACGTTAATCGCCATGAATCAGTTATTGAAATAATGGAATTATAGTGAACTAATTTAGTAATTGATTAATCGTTAACTGGAGTACACAGACTAAAAAAAGGTAATTTGCTAAAAAAAAAAATATATATATATTTTGCATTTGAGATGAAAATAAATGAGCTTTGTCTGTAGAGACAGAACTCCTGAATAGGAAAAGTTTCATCTTCGCAAAGATTATCATTCTGAAAAAGAAATTAAAAAATCCCCTATTAAGCACCTTTTGCTATCCAATTATTAATTAGTTAATCAATACAGTAGCATAACAGATCAGTCCTACGCTGTATTGATAAGTCGAGCAGAAAAAGCTGAGTTTTTATATGTTGTCAGAAATATTTTTTACCCGCAGGTGCATCATTTGTCACAAATGATCAATGATTCACAAAAGGAATGCTGTTATTGTATTTGCCACAAAACAAGTTTGCTTTGTTTTTTAACAAAAGGCATCTTGTAATGTATTAAAAAAGATTTAAGCAGATAAATGGAAAATCTGCAAAATGTGCCAATTATTATTATTTCTTTTTTTTTCAGATTATTCTTTAATATATTATATAGATTAAAGGATTACTAAAAGTGTACATGTTCTCTCTTCCATGATCTGACATGGTTTACTGGCAGGTGTCCGATAAAGCCGTCAGGGCGTTTGTCGAAGAGAGGCCCGGGATGACCTTTGTGGGCCTTTTGGCCACAGACGCTGGCTTCTCCGACTTCCTCTCTGGAGAAGGAAATCTGAAGGTAGGAACGGGCGCACAACGATTAACGAGGAAACAAAGTGGAGGATTTTCGGTCCTGCTGAGGCTTTTGCTGCATGGAAACAGGTTACAGGAGAAGCCAACGAGACTCAGATCTGCGAGGCGTTGCGGCGATACAGCGAGAGGGAGGGATTCGTCAGGGAAGCTCTGTTTCATCTGTTCAGCCTGACTCACGTCATGGAGAAACCACGGCCTGACATTCTAAAGGTAAATAGTTCACAAAATAATGCGGAAGGATAAAAAAAAATAATAATTTGGTTTTGCTGTGGATGACAAACAACAAAACATGGTCTCTGTTGTTTCTAAGCAACTTTCAGACACTTTCTCTTTTGACTTTGCTTTTGTCTTTCTGTGCAGCTTGTAGTTTTGGGCATGAAGAATCACCCGGCCACTCTAAACGTCCAGCTGGCCGCCAGCGCATGTGTGTTCAACTTGACAAAGCAGGACTTGGCAGCAGGGATGCCGGTCCGGCTGTTGAGTGCTGTCACCCAGCTCCTCCTGGAGGCCATGAGGACTTTCCCCAACCACCAACAGGTAAAACATCAGGAGTCCTTCATTGTTGTTCCGTCATAAAGTGCACATGTGTTTGAGTAAGCTTCTGTGGATGTTTGTGATCATTCTTTACCCCATTTCTCTTTTTCTGCAACAAAAGCAGTGAAGGTAGAAGTTTTTGTTGTTGTTTTTTTAAGATCTGTTTAAAGCTTGCAACATTTTATGTGTTCACTGAACTTGGAGTGATTTTTAAAGCTTCTCTTTCATTTAATTAATAACACTCCTGCTAAGGAGCAGCATACAGTTGCTGCCCTTTTAGCACCAAATGCAATTTACATGAAACACAGCAGAAGTCAAAACACAACCAACAAAAAGCCCAGGCAGGGCTGCATTTAGAAGAATCTGAAGCCAGTTTTGGTTCTCTGTCCACTGAAAATGTATTTTCGTCATGGAAATTACAGTACGCTGATTGGTAGACCTAAACATTGGTGGGTACAAATCAATGAATTGTTGGTTTAAATCATCTGGTGCTACA